GCCTCCAAAACCTGGCTGCCTCCCCACAACGTGCCCCTCTGCTCCCCACTGAGGATCTTGTTGCTCTGAAGTGGACATATCTCACTCGAGTCCACTTTTGTTCAGATTTTGTCTGAAAAAGCCACAGCTTGCCTCAAAGAAGAGATATTCCTCACTCTCATAGTTGGGCTGTAGTGGAACCCTGCTGATTTCTACTTATTCCCAGCCCTGGAGGGCTGTGGGCTGGCTGCTTTGTAAGGTTGGCAGTCCCTAGAACAAAATTTAGCACAATATTACAAATGACATTTCCACTGCATTGTGCATGGAGTGATCCATGCACTTGTGGAATGTTTCACAGAATTTCACTGAAATACACTTTTGTGCCTCAGCTACTACAGTTGGCTTCTGTTTTGCAGGCAGATTAATTAGCAGCTCCCAAGTAACTGGAATAATGTTATACCTTCTGCTACAGAAGCACATAGCACTCAATAAAATTCTACTTAGTGCAATACGCTGCCTTTCTATTCTAATCTTCCTGTCAATATGACTATCTGGTCAGATAACAGCTCAGATAACAGGTATCAAATCCGTTCCAGGTAACCTTCTGGCAACACCCTGTTACCAGGTGTAGGGTGGGGAGCAGGCTGGGATGCTGGGCACTGGGCTGCACTGGTCACTATGTGCAGAAAATGAGAAATCCCTCATGCTTCCAGCAGCCCCTTCTCCCACAAAATGCCCCCAGTTCCCTGTTCTGGCTTTCCTGCTGTTTAAGCATTGCTAGAACAGCTGCAGCTGTGAGCAACAAAGCTCTGCAGCACTTCTCCACCCTTCCCCTGATTGCTGCAGCTTCGTGCCACCCAGGGAAGCTCAGTGCTTCCTGGAAATCATAACAACCCAATTTCTTGGAATGCAGATGTAACCTTCTACTGCTATTTCTCAGCCTCAAATACAGCAGGAGGAAGTGCATCACTTATTCTGAGAGCAACCTGAACATCAGGATTAAACATTAACCTTCCTTGCTCCATTTCCACCCATGCAGAACAAGGGGCAGCTCCAGCTCCTGCTTCCCACTGTCCCATCGCTCGCAGCAGCAGCAGCCCCGGCTCCAAGAGCAGAACAGATGGAATGGAAGGGCCATGCCATACCCCTGCACACTTCTGAATCACTTTGAGAGCAGCCATTGAGTTTCCCAAGCCCCACTGCAGTCAGGGAACAAACAGCTCCTGCATCCGGCGCAGTGACAGCCAAAGGGCTGCTGACCCTTCCATCCTGATGGCTTTATGGCACTTAGGGACACACACACCCACAGCAGTAAAAGGAACATGAGATGGCAGGACAAAGCATGCAAACATCAGAAAATGCCCCAACCACTGCCCCACGTCAGCACCCCTGTACGTGCGGTGCAACCACGTGCTCCTTCCCTCTCTGAGCACACAGGACACAGTGCAATGGCAGAGCCAGCACTCCCTGCTCCCCAGCACTGCCCTCCCCACTGCACACAGGGCCCGGAACCACACGCCATGAGCCTGGAGCTGCAGCCTGACCTCTGGAGGAAGAGCTGGGCTGCCCCATCGGACGCACTGTGTGGGTTATTCATTAACGTGGTCATTGTTGGGGCTATAGTGAAATACAAACAACATCCTTGGGAGTGGCACTGAACTTGGCTCAGCCCCAGTACTTGCCCACACCCCGCAACACTGCCCCTGTGTGGGGCAGGAAGGCAAGAGGGGTCCTTCCACTCAGTCCCTGCTAAATACAGCACAGCATGTTTCTGATCTTGCCATCATTATACTGTTACGTGTGTTTTCTGTGTGCTGAAGCTGGAAGTCCTACAGTAGCTCTTCTGGGATTGGATCCGAAATTTTAATTGCTGTCCCGGACACCCCATCACCTGAACAGCTCTCCTCTGGCCAATTTCATCACTCAGTAACTAAGTCACAGCACAGAAATGCTTAATGTTTAACGATGCTAGCTAACTCTATACAGCCCTCCCCAGCCCATGAATTTGGAGGTTGATTCCTGCAGACATTCCTGCATGGACTCATACATTCCTGCAAAAACTGAGACCCCTGTGAGCAGAAGGCATGCACCAGAACCCCTGGGGCATCACAATCACACCACCACCTGCCCCTGGCACCCACACCATTTCCCAGTCCCTTCTTTATTTCCATCACTCCAGCTCTGTTGCAATTTAAACCTGACAGATCATAGAATCACTGAGGTTGGAGAAGATCCCTAAGGTCATCCAGTCCAAGCTCCCACCTACCACCAATGTTGCCCATTGTGTCTCTCAGTGCCACATCTCCACATTTCCTGAACACCTCCAGGGATGGTGACCCCACCACCCCCTGGGAAGCTGTGCCAGTACCCAACTGCTATTTTGGAGAAGTCTCTCCTGGTATCCAAGATCAGACAGAAGAAACTGAGTACTTCCTGGACATGCAGTGCAGCAATAGATACAAATTCCCAAGTTACTGTGGGACTTTGTCAGCATTATGTTGTACTGCAGTAAAACAAATGTAGGCTATTCTTTTCCGGTCCAGTACCCAGTTTCACACTAAGAATAGTACACTGCCATACTCATTTGCTTGTTTATTGTCATCACTGTCAATATCTGCATTACACTTCTGAGAAAGCCACCACATGGTATGTTTGGGTCCCCATGACGTACTGGAGATCCAAAGGACTTGTGAATCACACAGCACCATTTAGTGGTTAGCCAGCCTGACGTATCTCACCAGAGAATGAGAGAACAGCAGAACTCAGTGAAGGGGCACAGCCTCCCTGGACAGCACCAACAGGAACGAAGGCTGCTGTGCCCCCACATGGTGAAAAATGGAGGGCCGTAATGCCATCAGCAGCAGTGTCACCTTCAACTGAGATCTGAGCACTCCCACCTGTGTGACGCTGCAGAGCATGGCTGTCCAACCTTCTGGCTTCCCTGGGCCACACTGAGTGAAGAGGAAATGTCATGGGCTGTGTGTACATAGGCTGTACTGCAAATAATGCCTTCCATTTATTTGCATGGAAACTACATCAGATGCATAGAGCACAATAACACTACTGAATACAGCACGTTCTCAGCTACAAAATACAGTTTTTGTGCATAGGCACCACCACTAGCTGTGCATTTTCACCAGCAATGAACAAGAGGTGCATGCTGCACATGACAAAACCTGCACCAGCAGAGGTGACCACTGTCACCAGTGCTGAATACACCACCCACCCCTCTCTGTGCTCACATCCACTCTCTGGTCTCCAGAAATGTTCACCAAGCATTGATGGATGTCAGCGGGTGCCATTTTTTCTGCATGGAGGAATTCAGTGACACACCTTTGCTGCATCTGCACTTCCACGTCAGACACCATTGTGTCAGACTGCCCCTCTGCTGCCAACACAGACGGCAACAACATGGGATGGATATTGGTGGGAAGGTTCCACCTCTACTGCTGTACCACCAGCATCCGCCTCTGATGTGGTGGGCTGACGTCACAAAACAAGAGGCATTACTTTCAGAGCAGCCCTCATAAAATATACACTATAGTTAATGTACATAAGTAATAAAGCTTATTTTAATTTTTAATATTTTACAACATTAAAAACAGAGAGCAACAAAGCCATCAAACCATTGGGATCTTGTTGCTTGTTGCTGTGAAGCCAACACATCAGTGTGGTTTGGTGGCTGTGGCTGCAGCTCTCAGTGAGGTCTCACAGTTGGTCAGAGATGTTTGATTAAATCTTGCTTCATCCTCGCACATGGCTGTTCTCAAATACATGCACTGCCAAACCCCTGTGCCTGGTTTCAGCCCACACAGTGCCCATGGCACTGTGCTGTGTGGGTGCTGTGAGCGATGGGTGCACACCCGGAGCCAGGCTGTGTGCAGCTTGTGTGGGTCAGACACAACTGCTGCAGAGCCTCCAGCTCCCAAAGCACTGTCCTTGGGAGGACAGGGGGCAGTGCCGGAGCTCTGCTGTTGCAGAGGATGAGGTCTGCGGGACCCTGATCCAGGCCTGGCCACAACATCTGAGCAGTAATGGATGAAGGCACAGGACCATTCTCATGTCTAGTAGTCACAGTTTAAAAGAAAGCAGTCGAAGTATTTTCTAGAGCTGTAACCAGCACATTCCAGCCAAAGGTGAACTATTAGGCAAGCTTCATTAAACCTTTCCAAGTGGTGCTGTTTGCTGTCATTATTCAGCCACAAACTTCCTTGTAGAGCCCGTGAATTATTACTCTGGGTATCACCTTTTAAATTATATACATTTAGTTATTCTTTGTGGCCATACCTCCCAATGACTCTCAGTACCACTTGGCACATTGCTCATGTGATGGGGAATCACACATAGAGCTGCTCCTGCCTGGGCTGGCAGGTGGGAGGCCCTCATTGCAAGTCAGCTGAACTGCACCGTTGTTCCCTGACTGGTTTTACATGCATTCCTCTTCCAGCTCTTTGATTTCACAGTATGCCTACAATTTCAGGAACCTCCAGAAGAACTGGCTGGCGCTCAGCTGAACACATCACAGCCCCATCCTCCGTAACCACCCAGCTACAGGAGGCAGTGGAAGCAGCAGCCCCAGTGGTTGGTGCACACCGAGTGTCTACATGAGCTTTCCAGCGTGGGATTCTGATGGTGAAAACACCACGTAGCTGCTGATCACTGCAGTGGGAGCACTCATTGGCTGCTTCCTCCAGAAAGAGGAGAGCTTCATGCTGCTCCTACAGAATTCCTAAGAAAAGCACACTTTATCTTGCTGCTTGTGCCAAAAAGCTTTTAGGTGTCCACAGTGAGCGTAGTCCCAAAGCACCCCAAGTCATGGGTCAATAAGCTGTATTTAAGATCAACTTTTTACATGGGTAGACAGTGACAGGACAAGGGGAAATGGTTTTAAACTTAAAAAGGAGAGATTTAGATTAGATGTCAGGGAGACATTTTTCACAGAGAGGGCGGTGAGGTGCTGCCCAGAGAGCTGTGGGTGCCACATCCCTGCAGGCACTCAAGGCCAGGCAGGATGGGGTCCTGGGCAGCCTGAGCTGGTAGTCAGCAACCCTGCCCATGGCCAGGGGTTGTAACTAGATGATTTCTGAGGTCCCTCCAACCCAAGCTGTTCTATGATTCTAAGACATACACACTGCCAAGCCACCTCCTCTCTGGAAAGCTGCTTTATTTAGCATAGTACACTGCAGATTGCACATCAGCTCAGCAATCTGGTTTTATGAAACCAGAATGTCTTGGAAAAAGGCAGATGTATCAATGAATTGTGATAACCCAAACTGCTGCGAGATCTCTGGCAGAAGAATTACCTTGGTTGGTTATTTTGCCATACATAACGAAGGCTTCATTTCAGGACACAGTGAGCAGGGCTGATGCTGTCACTGACGTGAGCAGGTGTCAGTTTCCAACCAGTTGAGCTTCGGCTCATTTCACCTCTCAGAAATCGTTTCTTCTCCTTTATAGACCACAATGTTCTGGTCCGTTTCATACACTTTGACTTTATAAAGCATTCCCGCAGGCAGAAGCCTCTTGAGGTTTTCCCAGATGAACACTGCAACATTCTCTGTGGTGCTGGAAGTGAAACAGCAGCAGACTCAGAACTGTCAGTGATGGCACCCACAGCACTACCCAGCGGAGGTCTGAGCCCCGCAGATTGCTGCCCAGCCCTGCAGCCCCCCAGACCTCCACCCACCTCACCACTTCAGCGAAGTAGGGCACATCCTTATCCAGGTTCTTGTGGTCGAGTGGCTCCATGATCGCCTGCTGCAGAAAGAGAGGTGTCCAGGCTCCAATGCCATGCACCGGGCAGCAGTCTGTACAGAAATGTACAGACGTCCCTGCATCCATCCATTAACCTCCCAGCTGAGACATGGCACTGCCTCACATCACTGTGCTAAAACACTTCAGTCCTAAATCACTCCTTAATTTCTTCTTTATTTCCCACCATCATTAACTCACCATGTTTCCACCGGACAAACAGCCCATCTCTAACACAGGGGTGTCCGGGAGAGGGGTGCTTTACCTGCATGTACTCTTTCAGGTCTGCCAGGTTTATAACCATTCCTGAGACGGGGTCAATCTGGAGGGAAAACAGAAGGCAGATTAGTAGCCTAGCTACAGGCCCTTGTTACCAAGGCTGCTCTGAGCCGGCACAAATCAGAGCCACAAGAAAAATCCCTCTTCACCTTCACATACTGAATCCCTACTCTGCCCCTGTATGTGCACACAGCAGCCTGTGGCTCTGCTCCCTGACACCAGGGGGAAAAGGCTGCCTGCAACACACAGAATATAGAATCAGGAAGATTGGAGAAGACATCTAAGACCATCTAGTCCATCCACCTACCACCAATACTGCCCACTGACCATGTCCCTCAGTGCCACATCTCCACACTTCCTGAACACCTGCTGGGATGGTGACTCCACCACTTCCCTGCATAGCCTGTGCCACTGCCTGATCACTCTTTCCTAATATCCATCCTAAACAATCCAATCCAATCTAACCTCAGCAACCTCAGCCTTGTTAGGGGCAAGGTGAACCCCGATTGTTGAAAACCTCCCACAGTGATGCACACACCACAGGAAACCCAGCAATTGAGTTGGGTCTGCTGGAGACAGGGCCCCACTGCCGTATTGCCAACTGCTGCAAGGAATGAAGGAACGCTGAGCACACTCACCTCTCCACGCACAGTGACTATGACTGAAATTAAAAAGAAAAAAGGGAACTATCAGGTCATGCGTATGACACCATCAGCCTGAGAACAAACCCCACTGGTGATGGAGGCAGACAACCCATTCAGCAGTACCTCGCCAGGTGCAGGCTGCACAACACTTACAAGCACAACTCTTTTAATTAAAAGTTATCCACTGCATTAGGAGTGGTGGTCCTGAGTCACACACTCACAGAAGCCATTCTTCTGACCCCCAGGGACAGCCCTATGTCCACGAGGAGCCACATGCACACGTGCACATGTGGAAGCCAATCCCTTACCCTTGTAGTTGTGCCCGTGGCCATTGGGATTGTTGCACTTCCCAAAGAGTTTCAGGTTTTCTTCATCACTCAGTGATTTACTGCGGGAGGCAGACAAGGCATTTCAGAATGCAGATTTTCAGGTGTCACCCCAGCTGTGTGTCCCAGCTCCTCACCCCAGGCGAGGTTGGATGAGATAAGGCCAGGTTGGATGGGAATAAGACCAGGTTGGATGAGACGCTGGGCAACCTGAGCTGCTGGGTGGCAGCCCTGCCTATGGCAAGGGGTTGATAACCGAATGGTCTTTAAGGTCCTCTCTAACCTGAGCCATTCTGTGACTCACCCCCTCCCTGAATCCACAACTTCTCCTACCCCAAGAGCAGCACAGAGGAAGTACAGCACAAAGCACACCCTGGCACGGATCACCAAGTCCCACCCCATTCATCCCATGAAGACACGATGACATCGATAGCTTTTTTTTTTTTTTTTTTTTTTTTGCTTTGCTTTTGCGCTTAGGTCTGCAGTTCTGTACCGACTGCCCCACCCCAGCTGCAAATCATGCGTGAACAGCACAAAACCATTCGTGTTCCTGGCAGGAAGTGCCAGAACTGTAACCAGCGCTACTCCTTACGAACGAACGAACGAAGCCGGCGGAGCTTCCCCGTGCAATACAAAGCACGGCAACAGGACGCGGCCAGCAGCACCCTGCGGACCCCCTCTCACCTGTGCAGGCGGTGGCAGGCGCTGAAGCTGGCGGTGCGGGACAGCCGAGCCAGGCGCGCTACGGGCGGTGCCATGGCGGGGCGGCTCCATCCGGGGCCCGGAGCGGACGGCTCCGCAGCGCCTCCCGCGATGCCCGGGCCCGGAGGGATGCTGCGCTGCTCCGCGGTGCCGTGCCGAGCGCAGCTTCTGCTCTAAAGGATGTCAGCAAAAAGCGACCGAGTTTGCTACAGTTTGGGCTGTTAGAGCAGGGGGTTTAGAGTCAGGAATGGAATGGGCTGAGATGGGCACTGAAGAGCGGTATCAGGGGAGCAAACACCAGCCGTGTTCTCCTGGACTAACTGCAGCCCGTGGGCTGGAGATCTGTGCTCTTTGCTGGGCAATGAACTGGCTGCGCTGCTGGGCCCAGAGAGTGGTGGTGAATGGAGTTACATCCAGGTGTGCTGTTCCCCAGGGGTCGGTGCTGGGGCCCGTCCTGTTCAGTGCCTTCATTGATGATGTGGATGAGGGCAGTGAGTGCATCCCAGCAAGTCTGCAGGCAACACCACGCTGGGGGAAGGGCAGCAGGCCCTACAG